AGACCTCAGGAAATACTAGCTGTTGTAAGCTGCTTTGGGCCATTGTCATCTGCTGCTCACCACTTATTATAAAATAAACATTTGTTGAGTCAACTGCTGTTTTTCATTTAATATTTACTGAAATGAACCAAAATTCCAGTGTGTGTCTTTCATGATCCCATTTCACACCTGAGGACATTGAGGCTCGAGAAGTTGTATTGTTCAAAATCACGCAACTGAGAGTTGGGACTGAAAGCCAGTGTTCTTGACTTGAGGATCTAGGACTCCCTTGCTCCATGCCACCACAGCTGCTTGGCTCTCGGCAGCATTTGGGGCCCACCGTGATCCGTGCAGGTCCTGGTGCTGGAAGCTGGCGGGGCCACCTGTCTGCAGCGACGGCTCCGCGTTCTCAGAGCTCCAGGCCCTCAGCTGCCAGTCGCCTGAGCACACTCATGTAATCTTAATGAACAATGTGCAAAGCCATTAAAAACTCAATTAGGACTTTCTTTTTACTGCCGACGTGAGGAAATGCAATCCTGAGGTGCTCATGTGTAAACACAATAGCCACCATCTGCTACAGAGAAGCGTTTTGCTTCCAAAAAGGGGAACTGTGTCGCGCACACATCAGTAACGGGGCGCTTATCAGGACGTTATTATGCACGGAGGGGAAAAATGCRGAATTTATGGCCAGCCAGAGAGTGCTTCCTGGTTTAATTCCATGGTTTTCAGTGTTATGTATAATAACGATGAAGAAACTAATGCTGTTTTATGTTCCTTATCACGTTAGTGGATTTTTTTTTTTTTTAAGGCGAAGGGAAAAGAATGTATTTACAGTCTTCCTCTTTCTTGTTTTTGACTGATCTTGGCGTAATGACYGGCTCATTTTTGATCTCCAGGAAACTGACAGCCTGGGGATGATATTAATTATGCCAACCTGTTGATCAAAGAGGGCCCCACTGAGCCGCTGCTGTACGAGGGCTTTCGCTCCCGAGCAGTCCCTGAAATGGCAGACTGCTCGATTTGGAGACAGGGCTTTCTGCTTCTGGAGGGTGTGGCCAGACCTCTGGAAGCCTGGCTACAGGTGGAGGGGTCCTAGACTTCCCATCCTACCTCCCCTAAAACACTGCACTTGCATTGCTGGCTGCTTGCTTAGCTTCCTGATTCGGAGCCTTAGCACATGCCACTCTTGCTATTTTGAATGCCTCCCAGGCTGCCACCCAGGGTTCCTGCTCTTAATGATGTCCCCATTTTCAGCATCTTGCAGATTTGCTTTGTAACTGTTTCACATCTTATCGCTTTAAATTAAGGGACTCATAGGAAACAAGGACTCTACCACGGTGCCAAATCATAATGATAATGYAAGCTGTAGAAAGAGTCAACTTCAAAATTTCAGTGGCTTCTTTACTTAACGTCTGGATGAGAGTTCCTGATAGTTGGATGGCCTGTAGTACAGTCACTGTCTTTCATGGAACCCGACTCCTTTCCGTGTGGCTCTTGCCTCCCCTCCTCTGGCTCCTGAAATCCTGAACATTCATCTGGAGATGGGAAAAGAGGAAGGACCAGAGATTCTCACACTTTAATGTACATACAGAGCACCTGGGGATTTTGATGAAATGTAATTCAGTTTTAACAGGCTGAGGGTAGGGCTGAGATTCTCATTTCTTACAAGCCCCCAGGTGATGCTGAGGCTGCTGAGCCAAAGGCCATCCTCCAAGAGACAAGAAGATGAAGGGTGGAGTGTGGGGGAGGGAGGCAGGAGGCTTTCATGGACCAGGCTGGAAGAGGCTCACATCACACTCCCGCCCCTTAGCTGACACTCGGTGGGATGGCTGTGTGGGAACCCTCATAGGGAGGGGCCGACTCTGCCTCCTCAGTGAGCCCGTCCTGCTACTGAGGCTGGGCTGTAAAGAAATGGGCACATGAGCTGGTGGAAGGAAAGCCTTCCCTGGTCTCTCTGCTGTGGATCGTAAGAAGCCCAGGATGCATTTGCAGCTGGTGTGAATTGGCAGGAGAYGGGAGCTAAAGTGTGCATGTGAGCACCACGGGATCCACACTGGAGAGAACAGGCACACCTGGCTTCCCAGGCYGCCTTCCCTACTGGGAGACATGCTGCTGCTCGCTGGCAGGAACAGTCACCCACCCTTGGTGAGCCTTGTGTGTCATGACTCGACGCCAAGGACCCCGGTGGGATTCAGACCAGCAGGCTTGTCTCTGAGCCTCAATCCCCCCTTCAGTGGCTTCTCCTTTACTGCCTTGCTGGGAGGGTATGATAATTAGGTAACCTAGATGACATGTGACAGGGCACATAAGTTACTACCAAGCCATAAGGATCCTTCACTCTTTTGGAGACACTGGATGCACTTCCAGTGGCTAATACCCCCAAAGGTGTGTGAATTTTCGCTTTGACCAGATGGTAAAAATTTGATAGCAGTTAATTCAGATTTCTCTGTCCTTGTCACCTTGTTTCATGTTGGCTTCTTTTTGGTATGTGCGCACCTAGCTGGCTTAGGCAGACATCCCYGTGGGACAGCTCTGGCCCTAGGGATCTGGTCAGCATCAGTTACTGCTGCTCTGAACACTAGCTCAGAGGGGAGAAACGCAGGAAGCCTAGAGTGGCCTCAAGTCTAGGACACTTTCTTTAATGCAGCTTTGTGAATGATAATATTGAGGTTTCCAACTCAGTCTTCTCCCCTGTGTCCATCTAAATTAATTCAGAACTCAGAGGAGAACATTTGGTACCTTCTAGAACCCCAACAAGGTACAGATTTCTCAGAACTAATGAACAGGTAGTTGTTRGTCTTTCTAGTATTAGGATGAAAGAACGAGGTGCTTTCTTGCTATTGAAGTAGCTCACCTGGACTGGGGTTAAGGATTCATTCTGCATGAAGGTTTCAATGGTTAAGAAGAGATTTCAAAACAAAGATGAAGTTTTAGGTGCAAACATTCATCACAGAAGCACTTGAGCTTGTCCACTGTATTTTTTAATTTTTTTTWATTAGTTGCTCATGACAATACAATGATCTTGACATATCATACATTTGAATCAAATGAGATATTTTATGATCAGTTTATTTTGTAGAATCACAAGACTCTAAGTCCCATTGCTCAGCCTTCTGTGTTGCTTATGAAGTTTCCTTAGGCAGTGTCTCAGTGGTCCAGGCTGTGTTCAGCCACCTGTGGTGACRGGGGCTCATCTTGTCTCTGGAAAGTGGATCCCATTTGTGCTAGCTTCACTCATTAGAAAGCCCTTCACTGTTGAACTAAGATGTGCCTCCTCATGGTGTAGCCCTGARTCTGCCATGTCAATTAGCTGTTGCTACAGTCATGCTGGATAACAATCCAAGAGAACAATGAGCGAAAGACCATGAGCGTTTATTCTTGTGTTCCTGGGTCTGTGCATGGATTGTGGGTTGGCTTGTCTGGGCTGGGCTGGGTTTGTGGGCCACATGACTGTGCTTCTAGCTGTGACTTGGCTCTTCACTGTTGAGTTCAGGTCTTCTYCATGTGTGTGTTTTCTTGATCACCAGCTGAGACGGGCAGCGGCCACCTGGGGCACATTCTTCTCATGGAAGGTGGCAGTAGTCCAAGAGGTCAAGCCCATTGTAAGCCTCTGCTTGAATCCTTCTATTAACATCCTGTTGACCAAATCGAGTACCTGGTGAAGGCCAATGTCTACAGGTGGAGACACATTCTCTGCTTCTCATGGGAGGAACTGCAGAGCCCAAGGCAAAAGGCTTGGATCCGGGGAGTGATTCAGGGGCTCTGGAAATAACCATGTCATTTGTCTAAGCCACTCAAAAAAAGAGGACCAATTCTTTCTATATGGTACCTGCTTTAATGTTTGGAAATAGTACTTCTGTTTTGTGCAAATAGTAATAATAGCATGAACTTTAAAGTTAGAATCTGATCTCTTTGTGTCCAAGGGGCCCAAGGAAAGTCATTCAATCTTTAAGGAAAATGAGTGTCTTCTATCTCCCAGCATCACTCTGAAGATTAAATTGAAAATATATATGAAGACAACACCTAATATTGTCACTGGTACTCTGTTAAGTGTTTAGGGGTTTTACTTTCCCATTCCTCCTGAACATCATCCATTTGATTCTCCCATTTCTTCAGGGGCTTGATAGCTTGCTTGCATGTGCCCTGCTTTTATGTGCTGAACTCTAATGTGGGGGTCCCTGTACTGAACGCAAGACTCCAGGTGGAATCTCTTGGAACAGTGGTTCCCCAAGTTCTCAGGGGGTCATTTTTTCTTATTTTACCTGCAGAGGTTCCAGTTAACTAACTTCTTGGGTTTTTATTCCGTGTTTCTTTCAAAGAGCTGCTCACTGTAATGTTCCTCTTGTACATATTTATAGATTGTCTACTTTGTAGAAAGGCTTCCTATAGGTTATCCATTCCCTTCATTCTTAAACCTCCTAGGGAAGGGAGAGGGCTAGGAATAGGAAAGACAGTGGAACGAATTTGACATGACTTTCTTATGTACATATATAAATACACCCCAGTGAATCTCCACATCTGTACATCCACAAGATTGGAATCCTAATTAGAATAAGATATACTCCCTGTTTGTAGAAATATGTCAAAATAGGTTCTACTGTCATGTATAACTAAAAAAGAACAAATAAAAATAAAACTAATCAAAGGGAGATCCTTAGAGAAATGGTACAACGGTGTGGGAGTCAGGGAGGAAGWGGGAAGTGCTGGGGATGATATTGGTTAAATTATATTGTTGCGTTCTGTGCATGCACGAATATGTAACAAATCCCTTTAATATGTGTAATTATAATGCACCAGTCAAAAAGGTGGGGAGCAAACCCCCTATGGTGAGTAGGGAGTTTTAGCTCCAAATGTACTCATGTTCGGAGGAGATACAGCTCTTGGGTCACCCTAACTCTGCCTCCTGGAGTGACTTCAGCTCTAGCCACCCTGTGGCCACCGTGTAGGGGCGTGACTGATTTTCAAAAGGATTTTCTTTCTCTCTCCTTGTCTCCGCTTCCCACCCCTTTGTGGGTCTCCAGGGTCCTTCATGATGGTGAATAGCTCTGGGAGGGCGTCTGGCCAGAAGGCCCACCTTCTCCTGCCGACCTTGAAGGAGAATGATACCCACTGCATCGATTTCCACTACTACTTCTCCAGCCGTGACCGGTCCAGTCCAGGGGCCTTGAATGTCTACGTGAAGGTCAATGGTGGGCCCCAGGGGAACCCTGTCTGGAATGTGTCTGGGGTCGTCACCGAGGGCTGGGTGAAGGCAGAGCTCGCCATCAGCACCTTCTGGCCACATTTCTATCAGGTATGACATTTTACCATGGGTTGATGTTTTTAAAGTCATGATAATACGTCTGTATACCTCTTGCTTCTGACAGTGGTTAGGTCTGGGAATGATTTGACTTCTTCACTCACTCATTCAACTTGTGTTTACTGCTCAGGCCTTGAGGATGCTGAGGTGACCCAGCATAGCCCCTGGAGGAGGAGACGGATGTGTCAGTAAACAGAAGGATGCACATGGCTTCTCAGGGTGCTGGAGGAGTGTCCCCTTGAAGCCTTTTAAAATGCCTGCCACAACCTGAAGAGGGAGGTAAATGAAAGGTTAGAAGTTCAGAGAGCAGAGCAAACTAGTCACAAATCATCCCTGGGGAAGGGGCTGATGGTGGGAAAGGCACTTAGGATGGCTTCTAAGTTGGGCTGAGTCTTGGATGAATAAAATACATTGGAAAAGGGAGGGAGGAGCACTTGAGCCCTCAGGGACAGTGCAGTGGGTTGGAGAGGTAAGTGAGGGATTGTGGCAGGGTTTGCAGACCCTAAGATCTTTCAAGGAACATTGCAAAGGAGATACACAGGAGATCAGCCTGCAGGACAGCTGGGCCTTGGGTGGACGCATGCCGGGCTTCGGAGTCAGAACGCACTCTCTATTCTAGACAGTGCTGCTCAGACCACCAAGGGGCATGGCCCTCTTCTCCCAACTCATTATAAATCACAATTTAAAAAAAAAGCCACAGGAGGTCCAGATCTCTCCATCAGTTTCTAAACACCTCTGTCTCCTTCCCTGCTTCTCCTCACTGTGGACTGCTCACACAGTGCGCAGACCAGCACCACATGGACCCTCTTGGAGGAACACATCTCTCTGGTTGTTTTAGCCCGAGAGTGTGGAAGGTATTTTTTTTCTTTTAAAAATGCAAAGTTATTAAGGTAAAGATGACGTATCATAAAACCCACCCATTTTAAGTGTATAACCCAATGGTTTTCAGTCAACCTACTGGGTGGTGTGACTATTACCATAAACCACTTTTGGAACACTTCCATCATCTGAGTTAAGATCCATTTTACCCATCGGCAGTCAATTCCCATTCCTGTCCTTGCAAGGTTTTAAGTAAGAAGGTGGCATCRACCTGCATTTGGAGAAACTTCTTCAGTTTCTGAAGCAACAGATGGACCCGAGGGTGGTAAGACTAGCAGCTGGGGCTCCTTAGGACATCTTCCAGTTCCACTCCCACAGTGGCACTTCCAGATGTTAATATCAGGGCTCTGTTTATCTATTGAGTCCGCCTGTYGAGTGTACGTTGAGATGATTCAAGTTTTTATTTCCCCTTTGCCTTGGYGACTAGAAATCAGAATTTAATACTCAATTACCTTCAGTACTTAGCTTGGATTTTTGCTGTGTGATTTTCATTTTTGTCTTCAATGGCTCGTGATGACTTTTAGAATAACTTGCTGTCCTTTGTTATGCCTTTCCTGAAATTCCTTTTAGAAGCAGGGAATGATCACAGTGGTGGTGGTGGTGGTGGTGGTGGTGGTGGTGGTGGTGCTGGTGAGGGCTGCACGAGGTTGAACATGCCCACCATCTGTTGAGTGTCCATCATGCTCCAGGCTCAGTGGGAAATATTCTGCACACATTGACTTGTTTAGTGCTCTGACTGATCCCAGGAGGCAGGCGCTACTGTGCCCATTTTTTAGATGGTGAAACTCAGCCTCAGAAATAGTGAATGGGGACACAAGCTCACATGGAGTACGACCTTGTTTTATGCCTCATATTCTGTCCAATTACATTTTAGAAGTCGTGTTGAAAAAGCAAAAAGAAACTAGTCAAGTTAATTTYGATAACATATTTTACTTAAACCAATATATCCAAAAAACWATGACTTCAACATGTAATCAATCTACACAGTTATTAAGGAGCCATTTTACGTTGTTTCTTTGTATGTCTCCATTCAAATCTCATTTCAAATGCTACATTTTCATTGGAAATACTGATCTGCATGTAGATTTCATGAAATGTACCACTGCAGAGGAGGATTCAGATACACAAGTTGCTCCAAACATACTTTAAAAAAAGTTTTTCAATAACTGAAGCAAGTAACAGTTTTAAAAAAAATTGAATTTAAAGTAATTAAAGTAGAACGAAGCCCAAATAATCCAGTTTCCCAGTCTCACTAGCCACATTTCAATAACCACATGTGATAATGTTAGACAGCACTGGTCAGAACTCTTAACCCCTTGGCTACACAGCTTCCTTCAGTGGAGTTATTGACAGGGTCGGCACCATGCGGCACTCCTGGGTCAGGAGATGAAGGGCGACTCCAAAGTTGGGCTCTGGAAGGGACCTGGCCGCGGTGTGGAGCGAGTTCTGCTGGTGGTCCTGCTCGATCACTTGAGTATTGTGCAGCTGCCTGTGTAGTCTGTGGACCTGGGTTGGGAGGTTTACATTTGGAGTCCCTTGTCAGAGGCTTCAAGGAGTGGGTAGTCAGATGACACCCTTGGAGCAGAGCTGTGGCCGGCCATCCACGGCACAAGTTATCCCATGACCCTTACTGCCAGTGTCCTGGGAGGGGACCTGCAGAGTCCTGCTATGGCCAAGCTTCCTTCTGTTCTCTCCCATCCCTCTCTGCTCTGCTGGTCCATGGGGTGGCCAAGAAGCAGGTGCAGGAAGTGAGGAGAGTCAGGAAGAGAGTGGAAAGGAAAGAAGAAGTAAGAATGGAAGAAAACAATCCTGAAATAACTCATTGTAAGTTTGAGAGTACGGGAGAGCTCACCTCCTCCATTGGTCAGTCACGTAACAAGCCTCCTGTCTCAGCTGGACAAGTGCCAGTCATCTGGAATGCAGAGGTGCTGGTGAAGCTCAGCCCCAATGTGGGCAGTGTGGACGGTACCCCCTTTGTGTCAGGTGAAGCCCCCGCTCGCTCTGGTGCAGCAGCAATAACCTATTGATAAAAGGGCTGAAAAGAGAGTCCTCTGCCTTTTCCGTTTGTTTCTAACAATGTGATGTGTTTTAGCCTAGATATTTTGAGACAAATAACATACTGTTGGCTTCATATTCCAGTATGCAGTATGTGCAGTGTGTTTTAACTAGTACCAGGCCCACAGACCTTTATTTTAAACTCATGATGTCAGATGTGTTTCGGAATTCACAGCATTTGCACTTTAAAAGGTAATTTATTTGCACACACTGTGAGCTCCCAACACCCGTATCAAGCTCCGTGGCAGCGCCCTGTACTCGGTGGTCTAATATCTCTACAGAAAACTTACACATATTCACAAGAAGTGGGATAAATAGAGACTATGAATATCATCCAAACAGCTCAGCTCAGGTTTTACCACCAAATTATATTACCACTCTGTGAGATAACTTGTTTCAGAGCATTTGGGGGCTCCTGGTTGCATTAAGGGTAAAGCCCGTGTTCACTACCGATTTTTGTCAGCTTTTTCACAGCTGTGACTAAAAGACATGACAAGGACAATTTTAAGGAGAAAAATTTTATTTGGAGGTAAACAGTTTCAGAGGTCTCTGTCCATAGACAGCCGGCTCTAGTCCTCAGGGCTCAGGGTGAGACCCCATATCCTAGTGGAAGAGTGTGGTGGAGGGAAGCAGCTCAAGGCTTGATGATCAGGAAGTAGACAAAGAGATTCCACCCGTCTGACACAAAATACAGACCCCAAAGGCATGCCCCCAACGCCCACCTCCTCCAGCCACACCCACCCGCCTTCAATTACCACTCAGTTAATCCCAGCAGGGGATTAATTCACTGATTGAGTTAAAGCTCTCATAACCCAATCATTTCATCTCTGAATGTTCTTGCATCGTCTCACACATGAGCTTTTGGGGGACATCTCATATCCAAACCGTAATACTGCCTGCAGTTGCATGAATAGGAGAGCAGCTCTTGCTTGAGTGTGGTGGGAAGAATCCCCACTGCGTATGGCACACTTGTTAACGGGGCTTTTCTGCAGTGAAGGGTGATATGGTCCAGGTCTCAGCACTTTGGAAAAGCTGCCTGATGTATCTTCTAGAAGGTACATGCTCACTGTTCAGCAGGGTTTCTGAGGAGTCMCAAAGAGACTGATTGTTATTTAACATGTTGTCTCCCAATTAAGTTTGACCTTGGCCTCTATTTATTACATAACCACCTTAGTATAGAGATAGTCTTTTAAGAATGGATGGCCCAACATCATAGTTTGCCTGAGAGCCCTGGTTTGGTCTCTTGTTTTGGTGAGACTGTAGGGAGTACTCATTTCATCTTGTGTCCCAATTTGGATGATAAAGATATTTATAGAATGTGTACCAGCACATGAGTCTTTGGCTTATCCTCATTTTGTAAGTCAGGTAACTATTTTCCATAGAGAGGCGGTCAGGAAGTATTTTGACTTTTGTGGACCTTAAAGTCTCTGTTGTAATTACTCAAATTTGCCACTGTTCCTTGAAAGCAGCCGTAGACAATATGCCAATGAATGGACACAGCTGTGTTCCAGTAAAACTTTATGCACAAAATAGATGGCAGACCAGATTTGGCCTCTAGGCTCTAGTTTGCTAAACCCTGGTGCAGATGATAAAGCTGAGGCCAAGAGATGGATGATGACGTCCAAAAGCATACATGGCGAATCATTGGCAAAACTGGGATCAGAGCCCAAAAGCCATAGTCCCTAGATTGTCTTCTGGTATCATGAGTGTAACATCAACACCCTCCATAGCTCATGGATCCCCTGTTGAGGTCTTAAGGATCCAATTAGAAACACTCTCCTAGGGCCTGGTACAGATGGGCATAGGATGGGGCTAGGGGCCAAAGTGCAATGATCAGAAAACTGACCCAGGTTTCCAACAGGGGCTGTGTTAGTCAGATTTTCATCACTATGACCCAACATACCTGGCTAGAACAATATAGAGAAGGAAAAGTTTGTTCCGAGCTCACAGTTTCAGAGGATCTGTCTGTGGTCAGCCAACTCCATTGCTCTGGGTCAGAGTGAGGTGGAGCGTCATGGCAGAAGGGCATGGTGGAGAAAAGCTCCTCACCTCATGGTAGC